GCAGAAGGGACAGGAAGGGATCTCTCTAAGGTCTCTTTTATAAAGATGCCGCCATCATAACCAAATCACCTTCCAAAGGCCCCACCTCCTAATACCGCCACATTGGGATTAGGTTTCAACATATGAATTTTGGGGTGACACCTTCAGTCTATAGCACCTCCTTACTATGATTTTATTAATGGCTTAAGATAGTAGTTTCACTTACAAAAACACATTTAATGGAACAGAATAGTTTCAACATAGTTTAAATGAAACCCTAATAATTTCTGTATCTTTTAGGACTCTTTCAGCTTCAAATAACAGAAATTCCTACTCAAGCCATATGGAAATGTACGACCTGAGCCTAACAGAGGGTCCAGGGGCATGGTGGCTTTCAGGATTTGGCACAGTAGCTCTTGAATTGTTGGTGTTAGCCAGACTGATGTTTGCTGCAGACACCCCTCCCCTGAGTCCCCCAAAAGTTAGAGTCATGAGCCAATCACTGGCAAGAAGAATGAAATTATACTGCATTAGGGGTGGAGTTAGCTGCCTCCATGGCCCCTGGCTGTCTCCCCCCCACCCCCCTGCCCTGCCAAACTGAATGCCTCTGGAAACTGCTTGAAGCTTTGCTCAGGACAGCATCCACATGTCAAAAAGGAAATATTTCTACTTAGACATTTACAAATGGCTAGGCATATAACCTCTGAAGCCAAATTTTTAATCTTCAAGTTTTTTTAGTGAAAAAAGACAACCATATTTTCAAAAAATGTAAATAAATTCTTTGGGTTGAGATGTATTAGAAAATGTCTTATGAGAAAAGGTGATTAAAAAATATCTAAGAGCTTATCGAGTCAATATCTTATTAATGTAATCACCAAGCTTTGGCAGCCATTGCACAGAAGAACCCCACTGTTGAATTTAAAAATCTGTAAACTTTTCTCTGTGCAACTGACATGATAGTGGCATGATAGTGATATACATAAACATATCCTATATAATACAAGAGAAACATGCAAATTAACCATCACTCTGTCACTCTGCCACTCCACTACACCCACTAGCCAATCAGAGTGACTATGCAAATTAACCCAACAAAGATGGAGGTTAATTTGCATACGCTGGCATGGAGCCAAGACTGAAGACGACTGAAGATGGTGGCGGTCACAGAGCTGGAGCAAGCAGGAGGCTTGGGTTGCTCCCAGCGACGGAGGAAGCCAAGTTTCCCGGGGAACATGGCAGGAGTTGGCAGCATGGTGCTGGCAGCGGGTGGCAGCGGAGGTCCCAATGGGCCCTGATGAGAGCAGGACCGTGGTGGGATGGTGGAGCAGTTGAGCGGGCGGCGCCAGGCTAAGGCAGGTGAGGGAGCCGGGCGGGGGCCCGATGACTCAAGTGGAGGGGGGCCAGGTGCTTCCCAGGTCTCAGAGGTCAGCTGGGACCTGCCCTTCCACACCAGATGCTTTGATCTCAGGCCAGACCTAGGGACCACACCCATGCACGAATTTCATGTACGGGGCCTCTAGTAGATATAAAAGATGTATAATATATATGTAATTTATACATATAAATAGATACCTATATATACAATATATATAGCATGTGTAGGTGTATACATACATAATATATATGTGTGTATATGTAGGCATATATAATTATATATATTTATATATACAGAGAATGTTGCGTATTTGTATATGTATGTATATATCACTGTAGTTCCACCAGAATGTCCACAGGACTCTATGTTCTCATGTTGATAAAATAGTATTTATTCTTTCACAAAGTATTTCTTCTTTCATATGATGGGCAATACGGTTTCCACTTTGTGACTTTCTCTGGAATTGTTCCTCCTAGTCCTTCTGGTCCTATTTGTGTCTATCCCAAGGCTCGCTCCTTTTGGACTATATCCCAAGGCTGATATGGTTCTTGTTGCTCTATTTATTATAAAAAAAGACAAAGGAGGTGGCTATATTTCACTCAGAAAAATAATGTTAAAATGCCAAGAAATATTAATGGGAATTGAAGAGACATAGAAGAAACCATATTTTGGGATACTGTTTCTGCTTAAATTTGTTAGCAGGCACAAATTACCCTCCATTTTTCTGTAGAGGGGTTATTTAATCACAATAATTGAGATTTTTATTTCTAGGGCAATTTAATGTACTTTGTGAAGGCTTCACATTGACTCATTATTATTAACCTCAGGGAGCAAAGAAATGTAGAAAACTGATACATAAAAGGAAAAAGCTCTTTAGAGGCTAAGAGACTCAAACAGAAAATATCAGTTATTTCAAAACTAAGGTGTTTAATATAAACAACCTTGGGAGATTCATAAACACAGAAGCATGACACTTAACAAGACTGACTTGGGCTTTAAATATGAAAAGGGTAAAATTAACATGTTTAAACACCCCTCAGGTTCAAGGCTGTCTTTAAGTTCTTTATGCATACTTTCCCTTTTCAAAGTGAATTCGTTATGTTGACACATAACTGGACAACCTTCCATAATCATGACCATGAAAGCCTCAAGGCTAATTATACAGTTTCTGTCATGTCATTGATCTTGAGATCTTTCCCCACTTTTCTACTCAGACCCCCAACTCTCTCAACCATGCCCTGCCCAGAGCAGTCTAAAGACCTCCAACTCTGCTCTTAAAGCAGTTAAGAGCATTTGTATGTGTAGTCATCTACAAGGATTGATTTTACCTATCTGTCTTTTGTACTAGAGCATGAAGTGCTTGAAGGCAAATGCTATACCCTACTCACTTTTGCGTCCATCATCGTGAGCACAGTTTGTGCACATGGTGTTCATTCAATACTTGTACCGAGGAAACAGAATAAGGGAAGGCATGACTTGCCTTTTCCAATTCAGTTTTCCTTTAAAAAATTCCCATGGTTGTCTTTGAAATGTTTCCATGTTACTTCGGTAAGTGCTAACAATGTAAATAGCTCCTTTTTTTGTTGTTGAATTCCTATGTTGGAAAGGAGATGGGATAAAAGGCCCCTCTCAGGCAGGCTACAATCCCAGTGGGAAGTAGACAAACAAGGGAATGGTGTAGATGGCTTAAGACAGAAACAGATTTCCCTCAGATATTCAGACAGTGGGTCTGAGTGCATGAAGCTGTTGTGGGAGATGTAGATTGAACATTATTTGTTTAGTTTAGATTGAATCGAGAGCACAAATGGCTAATTCAAAATAAATCTACTTTGTGAAATATAATAAATGCCCAGGTTTCTTACTGTAATTTATTTTCTTATCAAATAATCTCCAAGTCCGATTTCATTTCTGTTATACAACTGAAGCATTGGCTTGTGTCACCCAGATACTTGTCTTCAGGTTCCCTTTCCTGATTGATGAGTTTCAGGGGATTAGATTCACGATCTATCACTAAATGATAACAAACCAATTGGTTACTCGGTGAAGGGAGAAGGGGAGAACCCTGCAACCAATATTTCAGGAGGGAAAAAAAGCAGTAGAACAATTTATGTGAAAATAATGGCGGTGAGATTGGTCTGGTCTTCATGATATTATTGGAAGCCTGTAATAGCAGGGATTCAGGAGTCTTTGGCCCTCCGAAGTGTTTGGAGGCTTCGGTCTGCATCCACAATGGCACAGAGAGCCAAGGGATCTGGGACTTGAAGGGTTTCCTTTAGTGCAGACCATTAAAGACTGCAATGAAAATGTACCTCTTTGTTTTGGAAAGCTAGCCTCCAGTGCATGCCAGAGTATCAGATCTCTCTGGCGAACCATCTAATTGATGGTAGAATTGATGCAGACTTGGAATCACTAGGCATGTAAAAATGGACACTCTGAAGGAGAAGAAAAATGGATGAAATCTATGTTGAAAATAAATTTTGCCCGAAAACACACACACACACACACACCTTTATCTTGAAGATCAATCTGCTCATTACCTATAATGGCAAAGAAAGCTCTTCTATCATGTGAATGAGCCATAGAACATTTTAATGAATTACCCATTTCACATTTATATCCTAGTTAACTGAAGTAAAGTAACTTGAGTCATTTTACTATTTTTCTATATAAAACATTTAGTTAATTATAAGACATTTATCCTATGCCATTAGCCATTTAATCACTTAAAAATATACAGACTATAATTACATAATTATTGGTTGCTAAAATGTGAATGCTTAGTTTTTAAAATGTTAAAGTCAATCCAAAAAGGAAGGTATGCAACAGAAATATTTGTTATATTTCAATTAGCACCATCAAAGTAAAATAATTTGTAGTCACATTATACAAACATCACTTTCTCTATTAATGTGAAAGAAATATGCAACTTTCTTCATTAAATTATTGCACAAAAAGTTCAAAATATTTCAAAATTTATGAACAGGTGATTGGCCCACTGAATATCACTTAAAAAAAAAAACATGTATAGAGGAAGAAAAAAAAAGTGTGAAGCTATATTTAAACAGGGAAATAAATATTGGGTTGCCAGTGTGCCTATTTGAATAAATCTAGTAAATCAGCTCTTCAGACAAAATTGAACCAGAAAATCATCTAGACTCAATTCTAAAGCAAATTTTGTTCTAAATAAGATAAAATCTTAAGGATTCTGTTAACTTATGATATTCTCTACTTTGAATCTTAGCTATGGCCTTCATATTTTTAATTTAAAAATAGTACATATGGAAAGGAAAAGTAACATTCTTTTATTTACAGACTAGTAGCCCTATGCATGAATCAATTAGGTCACTGCTGCCCTCCTGTAGCTCTCCACCTGCTGCCTCACCCTCCTGTAGCTCTCCTTACTCCCCTCAACCCCTCCCCCAAATAGCTTGCTGTCCTGCCCCTAGAGTCCCAGTGCACACAAATTCGTGCACTTGGGGGGAGGGGTCCCTCAGCCTGGCTGGCACCCCTCTTGCAGTCTGGGACCCTTTGGAGGATGTCCACCTGCTGGCCTAGGCCTGATTCCCCAGTGAGTGGGCCTAAGCTGGCAGTCAGACATTCCTCTGGCAGCCTGGGAGCCCTCGGGGGATGTCAGACAGTCGGACATCCTTAGTGCTCCTTCGCGCTGCTGAGGAGGCTGGAGAGGCTCCCACCACCACTGCTGCGCTTGCAGCCATCAGCCCAGCTTGTGGCTGAGTGGAGCTCCCCTTGTGGGAGTGCACTGACCACCAGGGGGCAGCTCCTGCGTTGAGCATCTGTCCCCTGGTGGTCAGTGTGTGTCATAGTGACTGGTCGTTCTGCCATTAGGGTGAATTTGCATATTACCCTTTTATTATATAAGATACCCCCACTCTATCAGTTATTTAGTTTATATATTCAACACACAAACTAAATAACATTCAGAAAGGTTTGTATATACAATGCATCGCTATGAGGTTCAAATGAGATAACTTGAATGAACATACTGTAAATGGTAATGCTAAGTAAATTGAGCCTAATAATTTTTTTTTCCAGTGGGAGGAACACAGACCAGGGGTCGGAATAGGATGCTATAAAAGGTTAGAGCAGCTGATTCAGTTGTCTGAAAGGAACCAGATTCCTGAATGTAAACCTGGTTTGTGTTGAAGATTTTTTCCTTAGTGCTTCTTTCATCCTTTCCTATAACTGCTTCAGCTTTCCTTGCTTTACTTTCAAGTCATTTCATGATACAGAAATAGCTTGCTCCTGACTTTTCTCTACACTAGAGGGTTTAAACTTTAGCCTGTATCAGTGTCACCAGGAGCCTTTAAATTTTATTTTATCTTAATAAGTGCACAACATGAGATCTATTCTCAACAAATTTTAAGTGTACGATGCAATATGTTATTGATTATAGAAACAATGTTGTACAGCAGACCTCTAGAACTTATTCATTTTGCTTAACTGAAAGTCTACTGTTGATTAGTAATTCTCCATTTCTTCCTCCTCCAGCCCCTGGAAACCACCATTCTATCCTTTGCTTGGATGACTTTGAGTACTTTAGAGACTCATGGAAGTGGAATCATGTAGTATTTGTCCTTCTGTGACTGGCTTATTTCACTTAGTGTAATGTCCTCATGGTTCATCCATGCTGTTGTATACTGCAAAATTTCCTTCTTCTTCTTCTTATTTTTTTAATCATCATCATTATTATATCTTTATTTTTACTTTTTTGTTTTTTAAAGTCTTTATTGTTGAAAATATTACATACGTCCCTTTTTCTCCCATTAAATTTCCTTATTTTAAAAAATATTTTTATTGATTTTAGAAAGGAAGGGAGAGTGAGAAAGAGATAGAAACATTAATGATAAGAGAGAATCATTGATCAGCTGCCTCCTGCATGCCTCCCTCCGGGTGATTGAGCCCGCAACCTGGGGATATGTCCTGACTGAGAATTGAACCATGACCTCCTGGTTCATAGGTCAATGCTCAATCACTGAGCCACACTGAACGGGCTAAATTTACTTCTTTTTAAAGACTAAATAGTATTCCATTGTGTGTGTGTGTGTATATATATATATACGCAACCCAGGTACATGCCCTTAACCGGAATCGAACCTGGGACCTTTCAGTCCGCAAGCCGACGCTCTATCCACTGAGCCAAACCGGTTTCGGCGAACCTGGGACTTTTGAGTCCGCAGGCCGACGCTCTACCCATTGAGCCAAACCGGTTAGGGCCCACATTTTCTTTATCCATTAATCTGTCCATGGAAATGTAGATTGTTTCCACATCTTGGCTATTACAGACAATACTGCAATATACATGGGAGAGCAAATGTCTTTTTGAGTTCCTGATTTAATTTTTTAAAAATAATACCCAGAAGTGGAATTGCTGGATCAATTGGTAGTTGTACTTTTAATTGTTTGAGTGACCTCCAGACTATTTTCCTCAGTGGCTGTATAAACACAGAACCAGCTCTAACGGCCCGATCCTGTTTCTAACAAGATACTGAGTTGCTTTTCAGGGACAACAGACCACATCCGCAAGTCATGTAAGTGAAGCAGGGGCACAGGAGAGAATTTTCACCTTCACTGACACCTGGAACCAAAATCTCTCTCTAACACACATTCAATCATGGAAGGAAAGGACCAGGTACATGACCAGAGCAGAATTTTTTCAGAAATGAAGGTCCCTTGTCCAGGAAGAACCAGTGTTGAAGCTCCTTACCCTTTCTTGCCATAAATGGTCAAATTCCAAAGTCCTCCCGTTGAAACCTGTCTGGCTAGTGCTTCCATATACCAGCCCATCTTTCCCAAACCCTTTAAATCCCGCCCCAAACCCTCACTGGGGGAGACAGATTTGAGCCTGGCCTCCCATAACCTTGCTGGTTGACTTTGCAATAAAGCCTTTTCTTTTCTCAAAAGCAGATTCCATAGTATTGGTTTTTATGTGCATCGGGCAGTGATCCCTTGCTTGGTAACAGTTGCATCGCCATCAGTGTACAAGGGTTCCAGTTTCTCCACACCCCCACCCACACTCATTGTCTTTACCAGGAAATTCTTATTGAAGTGCAGATTGCTAGGCTCAATCCCCTGGAACTTCTCATTCAATAAATAGGAGGGATTAAAGAAGTTGTTTTTCTAGCAAGGACCCAGGTGATGCCCATGCTGTTGGTCTGAGAACCACATTTTTAAGAACTACTCTATACCCTATCACTAGCGGACGGACAGAAGATAGTGAGTGGTTAGAGCTGATCATTTCTAATTGTCACTGGCAAGCTTTGGCTTCAGTGGTTCTTTGCCAAGACTCTTTTGACATAAGGAATAGCTTTTATTTTCCTGGCAAGTGAAACCATTTCACTTATTAATTCATTGCCTGAAGAGGCCCATTTATTTCTCCTTCCTA